GAAATAACCCACTTGATAGGCTACGAAAATCCATACAGTAAACATTCCACACCGATATCTTTTTGAGTCTTAAAACACGCTTCTTCTGCTCGGCAGACACACAAAAAACCAAAATTAGACCACTTCTTGTGACTCTCACCGGCGTTCATTCGGTTATGCATAGCAAGTTTGTATGAAGGTCTGCTTATTAAATGGGTAAATAGTTTAATCCATTCTCCGTTTCATGAATTTGTTCACAGGTAAATAGTAATTTAAGCTTTTTAAAATGATTAATACAAATCGTGTCTAAAATCTATACAACCGGCTATGCTAGCTGAGGTTCATAGCCTGTACTAGCGCTTGAAAACCCTTCTGATGTTGCTTTCAAGACAACTGGGGACTCTGAAAAAGTCAAATCATGACGTCACTGTAATGAGTGGGATAGAAGGAGTCAGGTGCAGGAGGGCAATCACGAATGCAGAGTTTATTCCGTTGTACACACATAGCGCTGGATAGCGACAAACGAAACAGGCACAGGGGAAATATCTACCCTGGCAATACAAGGTAACAGTAGCTCCAACAATAACAGGCACAGGGGAAATATCTACCCCGGCAATAACAAGGTACGAGTAGCTCCACCGAGCTACACTACTCTCACAAAGAAACAATCACCCACAAGGACAAGGGGGGCAGAGGGAACGCTTATACACAGACTAATGAGGGGATAAGAAGCAGGTGTGTGTGATTGACAAGACAAGACACATGGAATGATGAATAATGGAGCGGCAGTGGCTAGTAAGCCGGTGACGACGAACGCCGAAGCCTGCCCGAACAAGGAGGGGAGGCAGCCTCGGCGGAAGTCGTGACAGTCACTCATCTTCAGGTCGGAAAGTCAGAGCACTAGAAAGATTCCTGAGTTTCCGACATGGGATTCTGAGTTGGATGACCATTCAAAACTATTTTTCTCAGTCTGAGCTAGTTTTCCAGAGTTCCCACGCACTGAAGTGAGAGTTCCTAGTTCCCAGTTGTTTTGAATGCACATTATCCTCGGACAGGGGTACTCAACTCTTACCCTACGAGGTCCGGAGCCTGCTGGTTTTCTGTTCTACCTGATAATTAATTGCACACACCTGGTGTCCCAGGTCTAAATCAATCCCTGATTAGAGGGGAACAATGAAAAAATGCAGTGGAACTGGCTTCGAGGTCCAGAGTTGAGTTTGAGGGTCCTAGGGTTTTCAACAGTTAGCAGATGGTTGGCTGTGTGTGAACTACAATTTTGACGCTGGGTTTGAACGGTTAGAAACTTCAATAATCATCGCTTGCAAAATAGTTTTAGAAACACATGCTGATATGTCCCATCTTTCATATCAGCGAGAAAAAAATATTTAAAATAAATAAGATATCACTTACTGTAGCAGTTTTGCACAGATCCATATGCTTTGTGTGCCTCCAGTTGACGAGCTACACTTCAAATCAAAATCCAATTTTACATCAGTAGATGTCACAAAGTGCTTATATAGAAACCCAGTCTAAAACCCCAAACAGCAAGCAATGCAGATGTAGAAGCACGGTGGCTAGGAAAAACTCCCTAGAAAGGTCGGAACCTAGGAAAATACCTAGAGAGGAACCAGGCTCTGAGGGGTGGCCAGTCCTCTTCTGGCTGTGCCAGGTGGAGATTATAAGAGTAAATGGCCATTAAGGCCAGATTGTTCTTCAAGATGTTCAAATGTTCATAGTGTCTGCTAAATGACTAAAATGTCAAATGTAATGTAAAAGTAATGACCAGCGTGGTGCTCCTTCCATCAGCAAAGGCATTGAAGATGAAACGTGGCTGGGTCTTTCAGCATGACAATGATCCCAAACACACCGCCCGGGCAACAAAGGAGTGGCTTCATAAGAAGCATTTCAAGGTCCTGGAGTGGCCTAGCCAGTCTCCAGATCTCAACCCCATAGAAAATCTTTGGAGGGAGTTGAAAGTCTGTGTTGCCCAGCGACAGCCCCAAAACATCACTGCTCTAGAGGAGATCTGCATGGAGGAATGGGCCAAAATACCAGCAACAGTGTGTGAAAACCTTGTGAAGACTTACAGAAAACGTTTGACCTGTGTCATTGCCAACAAAGGGTATATAACAAAGTATTGAGAAACTTTTGTTATTGACCAAATACTTATTTTCCACCATAATTTGCAAATAAATTCATTAAAAATCCTACAATGTGATTTTCTGGATTTTTTCTTCTCATTTTGTCTGTCATAGTTGACGTGTACCTATGATGAAAATTACAGGCCTCTCTCATCTTTTTAAGTGGGAGAACTTGCACAATTGGTGGCTGACTAAATACTTTGTTTCCCCACTGTATACTGCAGTGGCATTTGATGTTCTCCAACAACAATTAAAGAAGTAGACTTGAAACTTTTATATTTTGTTTGGAGGAATAAACAACATTATTTAAAAAATAGTATTATGTAATACTCTAGATCAGGGTAGTTTAAATGTGCTAGATTTAGGTACATCCAATATTATCTTTCAGACTATATCGATCAAGAATTACATCCAATTTAAGGATAGGATTTGGAATATTATTCCAAATCTTGCTTTTGAAAAGGTTGGTGGCATTGAATTTCTCCTCAAATGTAACTTTGAGCTAAATAAAATTCCCCTTAAATTAGCCAATTTCCATAAGCAAGTGCTACTATCCTGGTTAATTGTATATAAACATAACTTCTCCCCTCATAGATATTTGATTTGGAGTAACAAAGACATCAAATATATTTTTCCATAGATGGTTTGAAAACGGTGTTTTGTTAGTGGCACAATTATTTGATAAAAATTGACAACTGTATAGTTATGTTGAGTTTTTGAATAGATATGGAATTCCAGTTTTTTATGCAATACCTTCAGGCCTTATAAGACTTTTACAGTGAAATTATGTTATTGAAAGGAATGTGGAATTCAGTTTCAGCGTTCTGTTAGATGGTGTATGCATCAAGGATAAAAAGTGCACTAATACTTATATATAGGAAGGTGAGTACCGAGCCTTCTTTTCCTCCTGCAAAAGTATTCTGGAATTCTGAATTTTAAAATATTAATTGGAAAGCGGTATGGAACTTAAGTAGAAAGTAGTTTGTCACTAACAAAGTCCATGAAGTGTGTTTTAAAATTATCCAGTAAACCAGGTACTGACAAGATTTAAAATTGATATTGATGAAAAGTGTGTGTTTTGCAAAATTGAAAATTAAACTATAAGTCTTTTTTTTTAATGTGTTTGTACTAACATCTTTTGGATGGATGTACAACATTACATTTTTTAGATCAACTGGTACTATGGTTCCTCTTGATGGTAAATATGTTTTACTTTTGTTTCATGATAAGGACTTAGATCAGAACATAGTGTATATAATGAATCTCTTCATATGGTAACTATTATATACATAACTGCAAGTGGTCAAAAGAAAATCCCAAATTCTTACTTTTTAAAGTTGACTTGAATTTTATTTGAAAATTCTGCGTAATCTGAAAAACCATTAAGCAAAACGAACCCTAAATGCCTGTGAAGCCTTGTGTATTTTTGTTTAAATGTGTATACCCCATGTGTATAAAGGTTCTGTGTTATTTTGTAGATTTTTTAAAGATATGTTTGTATATTGTATTATAATTGTTGTTAATAAAATAAAAATAAATGACGGTTATTATATTAATATTTGCGCATAAAATCGTTTCCACCGACATTTGTCGCATTATTAATTTGACCAACACATAAAGATCCCAGTTTGTCTAGCGTATTTTTGTTTGTCTACATTTCGAACATTTACTGAAAAATGTTTCCATCAGGCCTGTCATTACATTTTTTTATTTGACATGTACTTTACTTGCATAAAACATCCGACATGTACTTTACTCGCATAAAAAGGTCGGTTGGAAACCTGGTTACTGACGTTTATATATATAGTGAAACCTCCCCCAGCTAGTGAAACCTCCCCCTACTGAAAGGCCTATTGTGCGACGGAAGTGGGATATCCCTACGGCTGTGAAATATCGCTCCGTTTTTCTTAAATATCTCTCCGCTCTAACCACAAAAACAGCTCCTAGCTCGTTGGGAACTAGACTCCTTTGTGCGGGAATTACACTCCTGCTGCTGGTGTATACACTTGTTTACTTGTTAGCTACATATAAACTGACAAAAGAGTCCGAGGTTGCCGCATAGTTAAACTAGCACACTAGCTGTCAGCCAGACCACACGATAGAGGCCATCGCTTCCGCATAGGATCAAGCATTAAGGTAAGATATTTCCAAACGACAACTGCCTGTCAACTTGTCTCAGCTTTTCATAATCATGATTGTATGGTGTTGACAATCTATTATATGTTTAGTTAGCTACATATATTGATAGCAAGCTAGCTAGCTGGCCAGTTGATTTTGTTGCTAACGTTAGCCTAGCTAACTACTATGATTTTATAGGGCAACATGACATTAACTTCCTAGCTATTTAACATTGCTTTTTGAATGGCATTTTTGTAGACATGATTTGGTTACTATTCACTATAGGTAGACTTACAAATGTCTGCCCTAAGTATATACCCTTCCATGTTAATTCAATGCTTTAGCTATATTGCAAGCCTTAAATGTATTTACTTATTTTGTCTCACTGACTGCTGCTTGCAATATCAGTACAATCTATCAGGAAACTTGTGATATGCATGTGTGGGTTTAGGAGTTTCTTTTTTACCAGCCCTCCCTCTGCAGCTTGTGCCCAACATGTTGCCACAGTCAAATTGTGCTCACCAAAACATACTGTCAAATAAAAAATAACTCTCTCCTCATAAGGACACAGCCCAGTAAAACGGTTGTGGCCCCACTGTGGATTCCCTGAATAGGACCAGAGTGGAGGCAGTCGTAGGCAGAGTGGGCGCCACGTGAAGTGTGGTTTCGGCTTCCTCCATGAGTAACAATGCTGGTCAAAGAACTCCACGGACCCGGGCGGCGAAGGAAGCCCAGGGGGCAGGAGGGACAATGACACGGATCCCTCAGAACCAGAGTGTGGACCCTTCCTACAGGCCAACCCCCACTGCAGGCCCAACCACAGCCTGCAGTGGTGGAGGGAGCTCCTGTGTCCTGAGTAAGCTGATCCAGCTGTCGGCTCTGCCGCTGTCGCGCCACCAGCTGAAGAAGTTGGAGGAGCACAGGTATAGCAGTGCAGGCCACTCCCTTCTGGAGCCCTTCATGCAGCAGTACTGGGAGTGGCTAGTGGCGCGTGTGCCGGGATGGATAGCCCCCAACCTCATCACTATCGTGGGCTTGGCCACAAACATCCTCACCACATTGGTGTTGGTGTACTACTGCCCCACTGCCACTGAACAGGTAGGTGCAGGGGCACTGCTGGGAATTCTAGGCCCTGGGGAAGAATTTGACGTTGGGGCCCTTTCGCACACTGTCAATCACATGACCCTCCCACCCACTGAGCATACACATATTAATTAATGAGCAGTTGTTGCTACTAATAATAACCATGGATTAGTAGGTCAATGTTTATGTTGTCACAGCTGTACAACTAATATACACTACTGACAGGACATCGAGAAAAGACGAGGGCCTTCAGACTTTCTTGATTGAAAAGTATTGATTGTCAGATATAGCCTACCCTTTCAGAGCCAAAGTCTAGATATGATTGTTTTGCCAATGTTTGCTGCACTTTTTTCTAGATAAGTATGCTACATAGCCTAATACTATCCACATTGTCTGTATGTGAAAACTGTATTCTAAACCAGCTTACAGTAATAGCCTTTGATGAACATTATGTTGCGGTAAAACACCAGAATGTCATAAACCGTGACTTCCTCACTGAATTTCAATGTCACTCACTTGGATGTATCTGAAAACGTTACTAGCTGTCAAATTCTCCCTTCCTCCATCCTAGTTTCCTCAATTTCTCTCAAAGCTCATTGGAGGAGGAGGTCAAATGGAGAGACCTTGGATCCTCTCCTCCAATGTGCTTTGAGAATAATTTATGGAAACAAGGAGGCAAGGATTTGACACTAGCTAGTAACATTTTTGTCACTAGCTATACTGAACAAAAATATAAATGCAACCATTTCAAAGATTTTACTGAGTTATAGTTCATATAAGGAAATCAGTCAATTGAAATGAATTCATTAGGCCCTAATCTATGGATTTCACATGACTGGGAATACAGATACCTTAAAAAAATTGGTAGGGGCGTGGATCAGAAAACCAGTCAGTATCTGGAGTGACCACCATTTGCCTCATGCAGCACGACATCTCCTTCGCATAGAATTGATCAGGCTGTTGATTGTGGCCTGTGAAATGTTGTTCCACTCCTCTTCAATGGCTGTGCGAAGTTGCTGGATATTGGCGGGAACTGGAACACGCTGTCGTACACATCAATCCAGAACATCCCAAACATGCTCAATGGGTGACATGTCTGTTGAGTATGCAGGCCATGGAAGAGCTGGGACATTTTCAGCTTCCAGGAATTTGCAACATGGGGCCGTGCATTATCATGCTGAAACATGAGGTGATGGCGGCGGATGACTGGCACGACAATGGGCCTCAGGATCTGGTCATGGAATGTCTGTGCATTCAAACTGCCATCGTTAAAATACAATTGTGTTCGTTGTCCATAGCTTATGCCTGCCCATACCATAACCCCAGCGCCACCGTGGGGCACTTTGTTCACAATGTTGACATCAGCAAACCGCTCGCCTGCATGACGTCTGCCATCAGCCCGGTACAGTTGAAACCGGGATTCATCTGTGAAGAGCACACTTCTCCAGTGTGTCAGTGGCCATCGAAGGTGAGCATTTGCCGACTGAAGTCGGTTACGACGCCGAACTGCAGTCGGGTCTAACATGGGTTTGAATGAGAAGAATAGGAATACAGTGGTTGCTATTCTATACTAAACAAAGCTATAAACTCAACATGTAAAGTGTTGGTCCAATGTTTCATGAGCTGAAATAAAAGATCCCAGAAATGTTCCATATGCACAAAAAGCTTATTTCTCTCAAATGTTGTGTACAAATTTGTTTACATCCCTGTTAGTGAGAATTTCTCCTTTGCCAAGTTAATTCATCCACCTGAAAAGTGTGGCATATCAAGAAGCTGATTTAAACAGAATGATCATTACACAGGTGCACCTTGTGCTGGGGACAATAAAAGGCCACTCTAAAATGTGCAGTTTTGTCACACAACACAATGCCACAGATGTCTCAAGTTTTGAGGGAGTGTGCAATTGGCATTCTGACGGCAGGAATGTCCACCAGAGCTGTTGCCAGAAAATTCAATGTTAATTTCTCTACCATAAGCCGCTTCCAATGGAGTTTTAGAGAATTTGGCAGTACGTCCAACCGGCCTCACAACCGCAGACCACGTGTAACCATGCCAGCCCAGGACCTCCACATCCGGCTTCTTCACCTGCGGGATCATCTGAGACCAGCCAACCGGACAGCTGATGAAACTGAGCAGTATTTCTGTCTGTAATAAAGCGCTTTTGTGGGGAAAAACTCATTCTGATTGGCTAGGCCTGGCTCCTCTGTGGGTGGGCCTGGCTCCCAAGTGGGTGGGCCTATGCCCTCACAAGCCCACCCATGGCTGCTTCGCTGCCAAATCATGTGAAATCCATAGATTAGGGCCTAATGAATTTATTTCAATTGACTGATGTCCTTATATGTAACTGAAACTCAGTAAAATCGTTGAAATTGTTGCATGTTGCGTTTTATACAGTGGGGAGAACCAGTATTTGATACACTGCCGATTTTGCAGGTTTTCCTACATACAAAGCATGTAGAGGTCTGTAATTTTTATCATAGGTACACATCAACTGTGAGAGACGGAATCTAAAACAAAGATCCAGAAAATCACATTATATGATTTTTAAGTAATTAATTTGCATTTTATTGCATGACATGAGTATTTGATCACCTACCAACCAGTAAGAATTCCGGCTCTCACAGACCTGTTAGTTTTTCTTTAAGAAGCCATCCTGTTCTCCACTCATTACCTGTATTAACTGCACCTGTTTGAACTCGTTACCTGTATAAAAGACACCTGTCCACACACTCAATCAGACTCCAACCTCTCCACAAAGGCCAAGACCAGAGAGCTGTGTAAGGACATCAGGGATAAAATTGTAGACCTGCACAAGGCTGGGATGGGCTACAGGACAATAGGCAAGCAGCTTGGTGAGAAGGCAACAACTGTTGGCGCAATTATTAGAAAATGGAAGAAGTTCAAGATGACGGTCAATCACCCTCGGTCTGGGGCTCCATGCATGATCTCACCTCATGGGGCATCAATGATCATGAGGAAGGTGAGGGATCAGCCCAGAACTACACGGCAGGACCTGGTCAATGACCTGAAGAGAGCTGGGACCACAGTCTCAAAGAAAACCATTAGTAACACACTACGCCGTCATGGATTAAAATCCTGCAGCGCACGCAAGGTCCCCCTGCTCAAGCCAGCGCATGTCCAGGCCCATCTGAAGTTTGCCAATGACCATCTGGATGATCCAGAGGAGGAATGGGAGAAGGTCATGTGGTCTGATGAGACAAAAATTTAGCTTTTTGGTCTAAACTCCACTCGCCGTGTTTGGAGGAAGAAGAAGGATGAGTACAACCCCAAGAACACCATCCCAACCATGAAGCATGGAGGTGCAAACATCATTCTTTGGGGATGCTTTTCTGCAAAGGGGACAGGACGACTGCACCGTATTGAGGGGAGGATGGATGGGGCCATGTATCGCGAGATCTTGGCCAACAACCTCCTTCCCTCGGTAAGAGCATTGAAGATGGGTCGTGGCTGGGTCTTCCAGCATGACAACGACCCAAAACACACAGCCAGGGAAACTAAGGAGTGGCTCCGTAAGAAGCATCTCAAGGTCCTGGAGTGGCCTAGCCAGTGTCCAGACCTGAACCCAATAGAAAATCTCTGGAGGGAGCTGAAAGTCCGTATTGCCCAGCGATAGCCCCGAAACCTGAAGGATCTGGAGAAGGTCTGTATGGAGGAGTGGGCCAAAATCCCTGCTGCAGTGTGTGCAAACCTGGTCAAGACCTACAGGAAACATATGATCTCTGTAATTGCAAACAAAGGTTTCTGTACCAAATAGTAAGTTCTGCTTTTCTGATGTATCAAATACTTATGTCATGCAATAAAATGCAAATTAATTACTTAAAAATCATACAATGTGATTTTCTGGATTTTTGTTTTAGATTCCGTCTCTCACAGTTGAAGTGTACCTATGATACAAATTACAGACCTCTACATGCTTTGTAAGTAGGAAAACCTGCAAAATCGGCAGTGTATCAAATTATTGTTCTCCCCACTGTACATATCCTTTAAAAAATATATATTTCACTTTATTACTTTCCAACCCCACCACCCCTTCCCTAATTGGAGCGAACTAGTGAACAACAATGCTTATGCCTCTACTTCCAGCTATACTCAACTTCCTCTACCCTCAACCTTTCTGAGTATTTTCATGATGTCCATCCGGTTTGCTTTTATATGCCATATCCTTCTAACCGTGCTCTTTCACATAAGCTCTCAACCTATAACCTATATACTTATTATGGACACAGTATGCTTACATTATTAGTTATCTTGTTGTTATTAATTGTTGTTAGTTGTTATTAGTCCCATGCTTCAACTCCATTCAACACCACCCATCTATCTCTTAACACCGTCCATATTGGATTTCTATTTGCCATATATCTTTCAACTGTACTGTGATGTTTTACAAAAGTTCTGAACCTTTCTATACTCATTGTTTCTACAGATGGTAAATTGAAAAAAAAACATTCTTGCAAAAAGTATTATAATATTATTGATCGATTGACTATGACTTTTCAGATCATCCAGTAATGCTATCCGCAGGGTTAGCTCCAGGTAAATATTGCAATCCTTTAGCCATTCCTGGACCTGTGTCCAAAAACAAGCTACAAATGGACATTACCAAAACAAATGATCTAATGATTCTGTCTCTTCGCAGCAAAATCTGCAGAGCTGGGAAGATTGTATCCCCCATATAAATAACATTCTATTGGTAGCAAGTATTTTATATAATAATTTAAATTGAAAAACTCTACGTTTTGAATCCAGTGTCGTTTTGCATATCAGTTCATAAACACTATGCCATTGGATCGGTACATCAAAAATCTCTTCCCAACTATTTTGCAATCTGTATGGGACGGCTGTCAATCTTTTGGTCCTTAAATGAAACTGGTATACTTTTTTATTTATCACTTTTCTTTAAACAATTATGTTCTTTAATGCAAGGCCGACAGACAAGTTCCTTACTTTTTCCCCCTTCTACTTTTCTCTTCCATTTTTGCGGTAATGCTGCAATTATTTAGTTGTAATTTTGGGTAGAGCAGACATTTCCATATGTTTTTGTTAGCTGCATGTGCGACATAACTCCACCAGTCCTACCGATGATATCATTTACGAAGATTATACCTTTGTTAAACATTTTGTCAAAAAAAAAGTTTATCAATTAGAATATTTGAGTTTAACCACTATTTGTTGCATTATTTGTTCTGTCTTTTCTGGAGGATTAAATTGAAATTGCAACCAACTTTCTATGGCTTGTTTTAGAAATAGTGATATTTGGGAGATGATTTCCTTTTCAAATAACTGCAAATGAGTTGTTGTAATCTGAATAAAGGGAAAAAGGTCATTCTTGAACATTGGTTGAGACAATCTTACTAATTTTCTAGAGAACCAGTTTGGATTTAAGTATAACTTTTGTATGACTGAAGCTTTTAGTGATAAGTCTAATGCTTTAATATTTAATAATTTCTGTCTTCCGAATTCATATTCATTATATAAATAGGCCCGTTTAATTTTGTCTGTCTTGCCGTTCCAAATAAAATTGAATATTTTTGTACTTGTCTTTCTTGCACTAACACTATCGTACTTTCATTTCATACTAGCACTGATTTTGCCGATAGCTGCTTTTTTTATGAAAGTGTTTTACAATAACTGTGATATGTGGTTGTCTTACCTACCTTAGTTGAGTGCAGAGCATCTGCTAAATGACAAATGTAATTGTAATCATATTACTCAAACATGGAAATTACATTAAAAAGGCAGAACCCATGCTTTTCTGTGAATGTGGAGGAGCACTAGACTAATACAATTATTGTGAAAGTTTTGTTTGATGCCATAGAGAGCAGCCTCATTTATGATGTTGAATGTTTGTGCCCTTTTCCTTTCAGGCACCTCTGTGGGTGTACCTGTCTTGTGCAGTGGGCCTCTTCATCTACCAATCACTGGACGCCATCGATGGGAAGCAGGCACGGCGCACCAATAGCAGCACCCCACTGGGAGAGCTCTTTGACCATGGTTGTGACTCCCTCTCGACAGGTGTGTGTGCTGAAGCGTGTGTATACAGTTTCAAACGAACATACACAACACACTCAGACTACAAAGGACAGTACAAAATGCACTCACAGACTCCTACAAATACGCTCTCTAAGATGGAGATGCAACATACCCATAGATGTAGACATAACACACTTGCAGACATAAACAACAAACACTTACATTCATAAACAGAATAATTTGCATTATATTGGTCGACCGAAAGTCGTCTGTTCTTTCAACCAATCGATTGCTCAATTTTTAACTTGTATTTTTCCATTTATAGACACACCCTATGTGATTTAATAAAATCAACTATGTGCATTGAGCTTGTCTGATGCTTTAAGCTTACGTTTGATGCCTCGAGGGCGCCAGAGATCTAGATAACCAGAAGAAGTAAAACCTTAACCTGACCCAACTATTCTCCTCCCGCTCCTGCTGGCTTTCGCAGATTCTGCCATTACTCTCCTGAAGTTGCCGGTAATAGGCTACATGAGGAGTTGGCAACCTTTCTCATGTGGAATGCCAATTTATTTTACAAATTCTACCGATCTGCGTGCCAGTTATGGTTTTCATATGCACAGTTTCGTGAAACAGTTTCCTTTAATTTATAATAACATCTTCATATCTCAATCATTGTCGTGGTTAATCAAAATTCGATCCAAATCGAAATGAAAATGATACAAACCTAAAAAGTAGCTTCTATTGTCATTGCCAACTATGTAAAAATAGCCTACATAAAGCCAACAAATAAAAACATTGCAGCCTGCAGGTAGAAAATATCCTGATTTAAAAATTAATTTCCTATAAATCACATTGGCTACACATGGCCTGTCTACACTGAACTTGAAACATTGTATCAACTGTTAACTTGGGTCCAGCCCAAAGCTTGCACTAGCGAACTTGCAACATTGTATAAAATATTCTGGGCCCTCAGTTTCCCGCACCAGTGAGCTCGGGACAGCCACAACTGTAGTCTGTTTGCGCAAGGGATAAGAAGCAGTGCTTGACTTGGGCAGGAGCTCACCGGAGCTGAGTACTGGCACCTAAAATGTTCTACTGCTTGAGCTCCTATTCCTCTTATAGAATATTAGCACTCTCAAGCACTGATAAGAAGCCTATTTTATGACGTGTCCACTGGATCAGAGCATGACATTTTTCCCTTTCACGCTGAGTGGTTATTGAAAGAGAGAGAGCTGGAAAGATTTTTCAAATACATTGAGGAACCATTGTAATTCTCAATGGATGTAAAAACAGACTTTGTTTGCTTGCTGTTTGAGGTGAAGAAAACATTACTTTGAGAAGCTCCACAGATCATTAGTAGTGGTGCGTTAAGCCAATCAGAAATACTATCAGACCCCCAAGTGGGCACATTTTATATGCCTACATTTGCGCGCAGGCCAGGTAGCCTATAGGCGTACTTCTATGCATCCTTACTCAACCTTGACAGGAGCGCTCCAAACAAAAGACAATAACTAAATTGACAAAACTTGGAAATTGAATTAAATAAACCAAAACTTGTTTCTCACAATATAGGTTGTGCACTCTGCAAACAATGTGTCCACTCTGACAATGAGAACAGGAAGACAGGAATAGAATCATTTGGTTTTCAACAGGACGATGACCCAACACACCTCCAGGCTGTGTAAGGGCTATTTTACTAAGAAGGAGAGTGATGGAGTGCTGCATCAGATGACCTGGCCTCCACAATCCCCCGACCTCAACCCAATTGAGATGGTTTGGGATGAGTCGGACGGCAGAGTGAAGGAAAAGCAGTCAACAAGTGCTCAGCATATGTGGGAACTCCTTCAAGACTGTTGGAAAAGCATTCCAGGTGAAGCTGGTTGAGAGAATGCCAAGAGTGTGCAAAGCTGTCATCAAGGGAAAGGGTGGCTATTTGAAAAATATAAAATATATTTGGATTTGTTTAACACTTTTTTGTTTACTACATGATTCCATATGTGTTATTTGATAGTTTTGATGTCTTCACTATTATTCTACAATGTAAAAATAAAGAACAATCCTGGAATGAGTAGGTGTATCCAAACTTTTGACTGGTACTATATATATACAGTTGAAGTCGGAAGTTTACATACACCTTTTAATACATTTAAATTACGTTTTTCACAATTCCTGACATTTAATCCTAGTACAAATTCCCTGTCTTAGGTCAGTTAGGATCACCACTTTATTTTAAGAATGTGAAATGTCAGAATAATAGTAGAGAGAGTGATTTATTTCAGCTTTTATTTCTTTCATCACATTCCCAGTGGGTCAGAAGTTTACATACACTCAATTAGTATTTGGTAGCATTGCCTTTAAATTGTTTAACTTGGGTCAAACGTTTCGGGTAAACTTCCACAAGCGTCCCACAATAAGTTGGGTGAATGTTGGCCCATTCCTCCTGACAGAGCGTGTGTAACTGAGTCAGGTTTGTAGGCCTCCTTGCTCGCACACGCTTTTTCAGTTCTGCCCACACATTTTCTATAGGATTGTAGTCAGGGCTTTGTGATGGCTACTCCAATACCTTGACTTTGTTGTCCTTAAGCCATTTTGCCACAACTTTGGAAGTATGCTTGCATTGTCCATTTGGAAGACCCATTTGCGACCAAGCTTTAACTTCCTGACTGATGTCTTGAGATGTTGCTTCAATATATCCACATAATTTTCCTTCCTCATGATGCCATCTATTTTGTGAAGTGCACCAGTCCTTCCTGCAGCAAAGCACCCCCACAGCATGATGCTGCCACCAACGTGCTTCACGGTTGGGATGGTGTTCTTCGTCTTGCAAGCTACCCCCTTATTCCTCCAAACATAACGATGGTCATTATGGCCAAACAGTTCTATTTTTGTTTCATCAGACCAGAGGACATTTCTCCTAAAAGTATGATCTTTGTCCCCATGTGCAGTTGCAAACCCAGGGGAGGCTGGCTTTTTTCTGGCGGTTTTGGAGCAGTGGCTTCTTCCTTGCTGAGCAGCCTTTCAGGTTATGTCGATATAGGACTCATTTTACTGTGAATATAGATACTTTTGTACCTGTTTCATCCAGCATCTTCACAAGGTCCTTTGCTGTTGTTCTGGGATTGATTTTTCACTTTTCGCACCAAAGAACGTTCATCTCTAGGAGACCGAACGCGTCTCCTTCCTGAGCGGTATGACGGCTGCGTGGTCCCATGGTGTTTGTACTTGCGTACTATTGTTTGTACAGATGAATGTGGTACCTTCAGGCATTTGGAAATTGCTCCCAAGGATGAACCAGACTTGTGGAGGTCTACCATTTATTTTCTGAGGTCTTGGCTGATTTCTTTTGATTTTCCCATGATGTCAAGCAAAGAGGCACTGAGTTTGAAGGTAGGCCTTGAAATACATCCACAGGTACACCTCCAATTGACTCAAATATAAAAATACAACCTCTCCCTCAACGTGACCAAGACAAAGGAGATGATTGTGGACTACAGGAAAAAAAGAGGACTGAGCACGCCCCCATTCTTATCGACGGGGCTGTAGTGGAATAGGTTGAGAGCTTCAAGTTCCTTGGTGTCCACATCACCAACAAACTATCATGGTCCAAACACACCAAGACAGTCGTGAAGAGGGCACGACAAAGCCTATTCCCCCTTAGGAGACTGAAAAGATTTGGCATGGGTCCTTAGATCCTCAAAGAATTCTACAGCTGCACCATCGAGAGCATCCTGACTGGTTGCATCACCGCCTGGTATGGCAACTGCTTGGCCTCCGACCGCAAGGCACTACAGAGGGTAGTGCGTACGGCCCAGTACATCACTGGGGCCAAGCTTCCTGCCATCCAGGACCTCTATACCAGGCGGTGTCAGAGGAAGGCCCTCAAAATTGTCAGACTCCAGCCACCCTAGTCATAGACTGTTCTCCCTGCTACCGCACGGCAAGCGGTACCGGAGTGCCAAGTCTAGGTCCAAAAGACTTCTCAACAGCTTCTACTCCCAAGCCATAAGACTCCTGAACAGCTAATCATGGCTACCCAGACTATTTGCACTGCCCCCCCACCCCATCCTTTTTACGCTGCTGCTACTCTGTTAATTATTTATGCATAGTCACTTTAACTCTACCCACATGTACATATTACTTCAACTATCTCAACTAGCCGGTGCCCCCGCACATTGACTCTGCACCGGTACCCCCCTGTATATATAGCCTCCCTACTGTTATTTTATTTTACTTCTGCTCTTTTTTGCTCAACACTTTTTTTGTTGTTTTATTTTTACTTTTTTTGTTAAAAATAAATGCACTGTTGGTTAAGGGCTGTAAGTAAGCATTTCACTGTAATGTCTGCACCTGTTGTATTCGGCGCATGTGACCAATAAAATTTGATTTGATTTGAAAATGATGTCAATTAGCCTATCAGAAGCTTCTAAAGCCATGACATCATTTTCTGGAATTTTCCAAGCTGTTTAAAGGCACAGTCAACTTAGTGTATGTAAACTTCTGACCCACTGCAATTGTGATACAGTGAAATAATCTGTCTGTAAACAATTGTTGGAAAAAGTAGATGTCCTAACCGACATGCCAAAACGATAGTTTGTTAACAAGAAATTTGTGGAGTGGTTGAAAAACGAGTTTTAATGACTCCAACCTAAGTGTATGTAAACTACCGACTTCTAATGTGTGTGTGTGTGTGTGTGTGTGTGTGTGTGTGTGTGTGTGTGTGTGTGTATATGTTTGTTTTTAGTCGAGCAGTAACAAACAATCTCGGTCGACCAACAGCCTAACGACCATACAATCGACCAGTCGACTAATTGGGGTCAGCGCTAATTTCCATACAAATTATCCTTCTCCATGACCACTATCCTTGTGTACCGTCCTCCTAAATCTAATTAATAATTCCTGTCTGATCTCTCTGAACTACTCACCATTGCTGTCCCACTCTCCCCCCGCTTACCCACTACATCTCCCTCAATGGCCACACCTCATACTCAAGCTCCGTACATAAGCTCCAAATAGATCAAAACTCTGCAGCCCGACTTCTCACCCATATTAATTCCTGTGCAGCACATCACCCCTGTCCTCCGTGAACTCCACTGTCTCCCAGTCTCCC